GAGAAGCAGGCTCCCCGCTGAGCAGGGAGCCCGATGCGGGACTCGATCCAGGGACTCCAGGATCATGACCTGAGCTGAAGGCAGTCGCTCAACCAACTGAGCCACCCAGGCGCCCTCCTGTAAGTCTTGACTTATATGATCCCCTCTGCCTGGAATGTCAGTTTTTATTGCTATCAAAATCTTCCTGGTCCCTCTAGGTCAAGTTCAAGTGCTCTTCCTCTCCTTCCCCCGGCCAGCCTGGCCCTCCTTCCTCTCAGCTCTCCAAACCCTCAGGGCCGATAATTCTTGGCTCTGCTTCCCTCAAGGACTATTAGGAGAATCAAATGGGGTGATGAATGGAAAGCCTTTTGTATATTATTAAAAAAAAAAAACTTACATAAGGTATAATTATTTTTTCAATTATCACCCCTGGCCTACTGCTATTATTCTGACCATATCCCGGGATAGTAAGTTGAGCTGCCTGTGGTTTAGGAGGGTGATGACCGAGGGGTTTGCTTTGGCACCCACCCCTGCCCCGCTGAGGACTCTTGAAACAGGAAGTTAATTAGGCCCAGTTCTTGAAGTGTGTCCTAAGACCTGATGCTGGGATACCAGTAACCCAGCGGCCAGTTCTCCAGCCTCTCTGGGGTAAGGGGAGGGCTGGACTGCATGGGGCTGGGCCTAGAGGCAGGAGGGGCTTAGACTCCCTAACCTCAGATCACCCCCCAGCTGCTGGACGGCCCCAGCAGGTGGCTCCTTGGGAGAGTTTATTAATCACTGCTTTGGCTTCCGCCCAGAGGGAAGCTGGGGCCAATCACTGAAATTGGATCCTGGAGTAGGTGTCCTGGGCAGATTGTCTCTGGTGGTTTCAGCTTCTCCGTGAGCCTAGAGGAAACCAAGGCAGGGCTAGCCATAGGCCCTCTAGTTGGTCAGCAAGCCTGGCTTCTGGGCTTTCTGCTGAGTTCCAGAGGGATCAGTGGTGACCTGAGGCTCGGCCTTGACCACATGGGGCCATGGGGGAGCCAAAGGGAAGAGGAACCATGGCCCTTCAGCTGGAGGAGGCCGAAATTCTTGAGAGAAGACAGTCCCAGAGTTAGAGAAGGCCCCTGTCTGATGGGGGAGACATTATCCTTGAGTTAAGGGAGGCCCCTGACCAAGGGAAGAAAGACTATCCCTACGGTGGAGGGAGGACATACCTCTGAGCTGTGGGCGGCTCCTGAATCTCTTGAGTGGAGAGGAGCCTACCTGATGGAGGAGGCACTAAGCTAAGGGAAGCAGCTATCTAACGGAGGTGACCCTGGAGTTCCCAGCAGATATCCCTATCTAAGTGAAAGGCAAAGCCCTGCCCTCCAGGAATTTTCCATCTGTTCTAAGGACAGGCTGCAAATGCTGAAGAGATAGAGGGTGGGTACAAAGTGCACTTGGGATGATTAGCACAGGAGAAGGTGATAGAAGCAAGTAACGAGCTAGAGCCTTCGGGCAGCCAGAGAGGCCTGGGAATGTGGGTGGGGTGGGGTCCCATAGGCGGAATGGCCTTTACGCTAAGAGTCAGGAAACCCCTGGCAAGTTCTGGCCTTGCCCCGGCCGCTCTAGATGAACTTGGGCCCCACCTGTCCAGTGAGGGCACCGCTATGGCCTGGGCGGATCCTGGCCAGGGCAGCTCCAGGAGGGAGGGATGCTGGAGCAGCTACCTGGGGTGCAGGCCACGTGTCAACCTTCTCGCTCCAGACGCTGGCTCAGTGCGCTGTGTGTAGGGCAGGGGACTCAGGACGGGAGGCAGGCCTGAGACATGAAGGAAGGGAAATTCCACAGCCCAGCTCCTACCCACCCTGCGAGGACTGTTGGTGTTTATTTTCTGGCTTCTAAGGAAATGGTTCCTGGCCCGGCCCAGGGGGCTAGAGAACTAGCTGACTGGGTTCTGGCCAAGCTCTGAGGGCACACAGAGATCTCCAGCAACAGACACTCTGGTCTTGCTACTGCAGGAACAGAAGGGACCTCCCACTTGGCCCAGAGGGGCCCCAGGGCCATCTTTCCCCGCCAGTCCCAACTGGCAGGTGATTTGCTCCTCTGACGTGTCTTCTCAGAAGGGCCTTTCCTCCTCTCTCCCCCACACCTCATGTTAACTTCCAGCTCACCTCCCGTGGGCAGAAACACATGCCTTTCTCTTTTGATGTTAGTGGAGAGAGAACTGCACGTGTCCGAAGAGAAAGCATTCTTGGCCTTGGCCATCACCCTGGCTGCCCCTGAGGCTCTTCCTCGAGACTTCCCCCCGTCACGCGCCCTTCAGGTTGGCGGCCCTGCATGAGGAAAGCTGTACACAAGGCACCAGTTTAGGAGATAATGGGGGATGGGGGAGGTCATCAAAGCCAGACCCGTCGCTTCTATGTCTCTCTATGTGCTTTTGTTCTTGCTGCGTCCCTACTAGGAATTCCTTTTCCTTCAGATCCATTCTTCAGGCCCTACCTCTGTCCTACCTCAAGAAGCCACCCAGCACCAAGCCTGCTCAGTTTTTACCTTCTCTGGAGGTCTTACTTCTGCCCCAACACTGCGACATTTGATCCCATATTGGCCATTCATTCGTTCCCTCATTTATTCCATAAATATTTCCTGAGTGCCTGCTGTGCCCCCACGCTCTGGAGATTCAGCAGTGAGCATGGCAGACAAAAATCCCTGCTCTAAATGAAGCTTATATTCTGGTGGGGTGCAGTAAAGTGGCTGAGTAAAACATGTGGTATGTGAGGGAAGTGCTGCGGAGCATAGAAACTCGGGATGGAAGATCAGGGGAGGGGCTGCTCTCCCGTGCGGGGGACACAGGAGAGAAGACACAGGCCAGGGTTGGCTTGGAAAGAGCTAAAGCAGGACAGGATGAAAAAGACTGAGTGGGGAAAAATGAGATGAGTAAGTAGAACAGAAGAAATGGAACGAGGTGGGATGAGATGAGATGAATGGAATAGGAGGTATGGAATAGAACTTCATGAAATCGAAGTTTAGATAGAATCGAATGGAAAGAGGCACAATTGAATAGCATGCAATCTAATTCAATGGAATGGAATGAAACTGAGTTTCAAAAGCGGAATAGAATTAAATGGAAAGGAGTCAAACGTAACGGAATGGAATTGGGTGCAGTAGAATTAAATGAGACGGCATGGAAGGAATGGGCCAGTTTCAACTGAACAGGGCAAGACAGGACAGAAACAAAAGCACGGCTGGCCTGCCCACTCTGACCTTCTCCCCGCTCACCCCAACAGTGTTCCCCAGGGTGCTGCTGCGGACCCTGCGCCACCCCATCTTCCTGCTGGTGGTCCTGTCCCAGGTGTGCATGTCGTCCACGGTGGCAGGCATGGCCACCTTCCTGCCCAAGTTCCTGGAGCGCCAGTTTTCCGTCACAGCATCCTACGCCAACCTGCTCATAGGATGCCTCAGCATCCCGTCGGCCATCGTGGGCATCGTGGTCGGGGGCATCCTGGTCAAGCGCTTCCACCTGGGCCCTGTGCGTTGTGGCGCCCTTTGCCTCCTGGGGGCGCTGTTCGGCCTACTTCTCAGCCTGCCCCTCTTCTTCATGGGCTGCTCTACCCACCAGATTGCAGGCATCACCCGCCAGCCTGGGTGAGTGTGTAAGAAGCAAGGTGGGGGGGGGTGTCAGGGAGGGGGCCCGGACAAGGCCAGGGGAATGGGGTGCCCGTCTACCTCAAAGCTCACTCTCCATCAGCACCTTCTCCTCCCCTCCCCACCGGGCTTCAGAGCAGTGGGACTTCTCTCTCTGAGTCTCCAGTCAAGGTGTCAGGCGTCACTAAGAGGGGCAAGGATGGAACTTCACAGACGGGACAGCTCAGGCCTGGGGAGAGGTGGAAGCCAAGGCAGGGCAAAGCCACTTGTGTGGACGGCATCTCCAGAGTGGCCGAGGTAAGGCAGAGGCCACGTCAGAGAGCAAGACCCAGCTCAGCATGAGGAAGGCTTCACTCCCAGGCAGGGGAAAGGCCTGCCTAGGAAGCCCGCACACTCTCCATCCCCCAGGGGCGGGGGTGTAGAGAGAGGGGGCAAGCAGGGCTGGAAGGCATCTGTCATGGACGCTGCAGAAGGGACTTAAGCCGTAGGAAGGAGTTGGCCCCCAGAGGCCTTGAAGACTTGCGGCTCTTAGAGCCTGGCAGCTAAAATGCTGTTGTTCCATGACCCTAAAACTCAAGGTTCTTTTCCCACATCTGAGGCAGCACCAAGAGGAAAGCCTCCGATGCCTATCTCCCTTCTCGTTTCTCTGTCCTCCCACCCTCAGGCATATGCTCTCTCCTGCTGGGGGCAGTCTTCGAGAGGGTGCTGGAAGTTACTTCGCTGCCTGTTCTCCAGAATGACTTCACTTTTCCTGGGAACTGCTCCAGGCTTAGGCTGGCCCAAGACCCAGCTAGAATTCCCCGATTGTCTCCGTTCCCACCTCTCCCTGGGCATCTCCTCCCTCCACCCGCATGCCAGCTATCCCACCCTGACAGAGGCTCAGCTCTTCTCTCTGGCCCAGGCCCCACATCACAACCTCTCCCTCATCATCCTTTCCCTTCCCCTCCTTCCTTGTCCCTCCTTCTCCCAGACAGTAAGGCGACTCTCCTGCCTCCCCTCTGCAGAGCCCTTGTTCTAGGCACAGCGGGTGGAGCTTTAGCCAGACCCTCTGCAGTCCCCGGTCTGAGGAGCGAGGCAGGGCCTTTATTTTTTTATTTTTAAAAAAGATTTATTTATTTATTTTGGGAGGGGGGAGAGAGAGAGGGAGAACGCATGAGGTGGGGAGGGGCAGAGGAAGGAGAGAGAGCATCTCTGGCAGATTCCTCGCTGAGCACAGAGCCTGACATGGGGCTCGATCCCAGGACCCCGAGATCATGTCCTGAGCCGAACTCAAGAGTTGGCTGCTTAACCAACTGAGCCTCCCAGGCACCCCCCCTTTTTTTTTCTTCCAAAAAGTAAATGGAGAAAGGTCAGCCTAGCACACGTGCCTATTTCCCTTTTCTTCTGCCTCTCGCCTTGACTCTGACATCTCATCTCACTGTGTTCTCATCTTTGTTCTTGCAATTTACTCACTGAGCTTTGGGCTCTAATTCATTGAAGAAGCTTTTTGGGACCAACTGAGCAAATTCAGGAGGCTTTCTCATATTTCAGCCCAACTAGTGATACCGACAGCTGCCGAGAACTGAGGTCTCCCACGCACCCAGCGTCCAGCTCAGCTCTTCCCATATTCTGTCTCATTGAACCTTCACAGCATCTCTGAGATGGGTTGTACCATTATGCCCATTTCACAGATGAGGATAGTGAGGCTCAGAGAGGTGAAGTCGCCCAGCTGGGCTGTCCAGCTGGGAGGGGCAGAGCCAGGGCTCTCCCCACAGGAGCAAGGGGCTGCGGAAGAGTCCCCACTCTCATCCACTCAGCCTTCCTGCTGCTGGCAGGGCATCCTGACGGGCGCCTGACCCTGGGCAGAATCCCCTGGTGTCACCTCAGCTCAGGCAGTACCAGCCCGTTCCCTTTCCTGCTTGGCAGGGAAGGAAGAAGAGATGATCTCCCCCCACCCACTGTCAGAGGGAAACCCCCTCCTGAGGGAAGGAGTGCATTTACCTCTGCCCCGAGGCCCCCTTCCCAACTCTGGTACCCAGTTGTCCTACCCACCTCCCCAGCCCCCTGTTGAGTTGAACCTCTTCTCCAGGGAACTGAGATCTCACTAAGCTGGCCAGACCTGCCCCACTGCCTGGGCCTCTGCCCATACCCAGCCTAAGCCCACAGGACCCTCAGCTGCCCACTGGGGCCCCCTCCTCATTTGTAGCCTGGCCGTAGGCTCCCTGGCAGGTTTTCTCCCTCTGAGCCATGAAGTCAGGTCCTCCTCTGAGTCCCAGGGGCCACCTCCCCACCCCACTGAGGGTGACCTAACCCCTCGGACTCAGCCTTTCTTCTGATCTCCCACCTGACTAGAGTAGGGGTGCTCCTGGGACTTTGGGGCAGGCCCTCCAGAGGGAGTTGGTGGGACTAAGTCATGCAGTGACCACAGTGAACAGAGTAGTGACAGGGAGCTGAGAGGCCGTGAGACTGCAGGGTGGCCATGGGAGGGGGTTCCCAGCAGAGCTGACAGAGACACTGAGGTCCTGAGAGAGGCAGGGACAGGTGGGTGATCCCACAGCTAGTCAGGTGTCCTGCCTGGTCCAACAGACATCACTCGAATTTTCTAAGAAAAGGAAGCAATCCAGTCCATCAAGAAAAAGGCCCCTTGGGCTTCAGGGCTGAGGTGGCCCCAGTTCATTGTGTGAGAGCCGGAAAGCCAGGCTAACCCTGCCGCCTTCTCTCCCACCAGCAACCTGCCTGGACCGGACCTGTTTCCAGCCTGCACAGAGCCTTGCTCCTGCCCATTGGACGACTTTAACCCTGTCTGTGACCCCAGAACCCATGTTGAATACCTCACACCCTGCCAGGCAGGCTGCACAGGCTGGCTGGTCCAGGAAGCTCTGGACAAAAGTCAGGTGGGTCAGGCCTCTGATTGTTCCCTCTGCCTCCCCTGGGCTCTGCCCCTCCCTGTCTTTGTGCATCCATCACGCTCTCCATCTTTGCGCATTCTCATTCTGTGGCTCTTCTATCTGTTGGTTGGTCTGTCTCCTTCTGTTGGCCAATGTAGAACATGATTCTTGCAGTAAACTTTCATTGCCAGTCGGGGCCCAGCCATGTGCCAGGCCCCAGAGCACAGGGGTGAGCCCGATCTGGCTCCAGCTGTCTGTGCAAGGGAGAGGCAAAAGGAAACAAGGAACTCCAGGGGTGGTGATAGGCAGGAGAAATGGTCCCCACAAGAACAGACAAAGATGGAAGAAGGTGCATCCAGCCTGGGAGGGTACTGGAAGGCTTCCTGGGACGTGGCATTTGTGCTGGATCATCAAGGATGAGTAGCAAACCAGGAAAGGGCTTTCCAAGCAGGGGGAACCGCAGAAGCAAAGTCTGCACACACATGCACACAGTGTTTCAAGAAACGGCAAAGAACTTGTTGGAGCAGAAGCAGAACGTTTCCAAGAGGGAAAGTGAGGCTCAGGCAAAGAAGGGCATTCAAGGCCTTTACCAAGAGAGCAATGGGGAGCATTGGGTGGGCTGGTGACAGGGTCAGATCTGTGTCTGATAATACTTGAGGCCATGTATGGAGGAGGGCGAGCAGAGTGCAGGCTAGGAGACAGGGAAACGGTGGGGAGGCTGGCCCAGAGAGCCCAGTCAATCATTCAGCCAGTCAGCAAACCTTCACAGAGCTCCTCCTCTGTGCCAGGCCCTGTGCCAGGGGCCGAGGACCCAGAGCCAAGGGGCCCTACCCTCGAACTCCAAGCAGGGAAGGAGGCAGAATAAGCAGCCGCAGTGCATCTTGTGTGAACCTTAAACAGGTCTCCAAGACTAGCCACTCTTCCTCCCCTTTCTCCTCAGTCCCCCAGATGACAAATGAGAAGAATATCTGCCTTCCTCAGGCCCCCAGGCTGTAGACGAGCCTGTTGGGGGGCGGGGCGCAGGGGGTGCAGCATCAGGCTGGCCACAACGCGTCCCTTCTCCAGAGCCCCCCCTCTTGGTCATGTGGAACTCCTGCCTTTGCATCCTGGACCCCACGGGCTGGTGCAGAGGACAGCACCTGGCTGACGGGGCTGCAAGCCAGCAGGCACCAGCTGGGCTCTGCAAACGGTTTGCATTTGCAGTCATCGAAATCCCAGCCTCTGTGCCTCCTTAGCGCTCACTGTCTTTGCCTGGTTTCATATCTCTGAGACCTTCCAGGGGACCCCAGGCCCTGCCAGCTGGGGCAAGATCCCCCAGGGAACAGTAAGCTTTAGTGGATATGGGCCCCTGAGCACCGAGGCCAGGCCACCCGGTTCGAATCCCTGTTCTACCTCTACCTGGCTCTGTTACCTCAGGCAAATTATTTCATCTGTGCCTCCATTTCCTGGTCTATAAGACAGAGGTGATCGTACTGAGTACTTACTATATACCAGCCACTGTGCTAAATGCTTTCCTCAGGTGACTTCATTAAATAGTGAGTAAAGAGCCACATGACAATGCCCATGAAAAGTACTTGGCACAGTGGCTGGGAAATTTTAAGCACTCAGTAGTACACACTCCTATTAGTGTCCGTTATACAGATGGGAAAGGGAGGTTCAGGAAAGGACCAGGCATTGCCCAAAGTCTTAATGCCAGAGCTGGGGTTATAACCCAGGGCTCTGGCCTCCCAGCCCAGCGCGCTCCCCAGAGCATCCTCAGAGGTTGTGTCTGGGGATGGTATTTGGAGGAGGGCACACCTGGGTCCTGGTCAGCACACAGGAACTGTAGCTCCGGCCTGGAATAGTCTCGCAGCCAGCCTGCCTCCTGAGGTTGACTGTGAGCGAGCTCGCGGGCCCAGGGCTGGGTCGCTCAGTGGCCAGCACCGCTGCACTCAGTAACCGTGGATGAAGGAGTAGATGGCCAGGGGAAAGATGGGGAGAGGTGGGCGGTTGGGGGGATCTGAGGCTCGGGGTGAGGCTGAATCCCCCGGGGGAGTGAGAATCAGAGGCAGCTGGAGAGATCGGAGTCATCCGTAAGAAGAACTTGCTGCCAGAGTTAGATGAATGTGAATGAGAGCTGGGAAAACCCCAAGAGGAAGGCCTCCAGCTTTGTGTCCGTCCCAGCCATCTTCGGCCGTTCAGAAAAGGCATGAGGGCGGGTCTTTCTCTTCTAGCCACCTTGCCTGGCATATTTCTCCCCTTAGCTGTCCCTCCATTGTACCTCCACCCCAGTGGGTTGCTCAGCCTGGGGGCAAAGGTCCAGATGGCGTGTGCTCAGCAGGTCGCACGCCTGTGGCAGCCTGACCATGCACGGGCACCCTGCGGGCAATGGAAAGAGCGCCCAGTTACCCCAGCCGGAATCCCCGATCTCGCGCTCTCTCACCTTGCCCTAATTCTACATCCTAAGTATCTCTCAAATCAAACCCTGTTCTCCATCCTCCTCCCCCTCCCACCGCTCTCTCCACAGTGGGCCTCTTGGCCGGCCTCCCCTGCCTGGCCTGTCCTCTTGCAGGAACCCCAGCGGCTTTGGTGCCGTCAGCTGTCATCCCTCCGGAGCTTAAATTCCTCCCAAGGCTCCCACAGTCCTCCTCAGGGACTCCCAACCCTTTTCACAGTGGGAAGTGTGTGAGGCTGCCCCAGGCCGACCGAGCAGGCCACCCTAAGGGCTGATGCCACCCAGCCCTGCACACCTGTCTCCCAGCAGAGGCCGCGGCTCCCTGGGACACACTGGTCAGAAACTCTGTTCTGTGGGGAAGAAAAGCCTAGGCTTCCTGGCTTTCTTAGCTTCTGTGAGGCATGGGCGGTGGAGACCACTGCTGAAAGAATCCTAGGCTGGAAGTTTTCCAGGCCACGTGGGGGTGGGAATGCGGGCTGCAATCAAACATGCCCCTGAGCCAGCCTGGGGGCCATCCCTTGCAGTTGGAAAAGGGGTCAGCTTTTCACATACTTCAGCCTCTGGAGGGGTCCCAGTTTTTTGCGGGGGTCTCCTATTGGACTTCACTCTGGCAGGAGGGAGGGCTAGGCTTTGTCCTCCCGCCTTGGAGCTCCCAGACCTCAGAAAGCTATACTCCTGGTGAAGGTTCTGCAAACATGCTGCAGCCAAAGCTTGCTTCAGGACCCTGCTCACCTCGCTGGGTTCCAGCCTCTCTGAGCAGTTTTCCGTTTCTGCCGGCACATGGGTGCCCTCAGGACAATGTTTTCAATACTTTATCCAGCATTGTGTTGTCAGCAGGATGATTGGCAGGGTCCCGGTCCACTGTGTTTCTGGAAACAGCAGTCCAGGTTCCTCTTCTGTGTCCCAAACTCTTCACAACGCGCCATCCCGGGGCAGCCCTCAAGCGCTTCCCTGCCTCCCCTCTGCCCTCCGCTCCAGGCAAAGATTTGCTGCACTCTTTCATGCCACTTTCGTGGGATTTTACATCTGACCTTCCCTCTCCTCATCTCAGTTTTCCTCTTGGCAAGCTCCTATTCGTTCCTCAAGACCCAGATCCAGCACCCCTCTCTGGTGAAGCCTTCCTTGCCCCTCACCTGGTGAAGCTGGGTTCCTGTGGTGCTGCCTGCGTCCCTCTCTCCTGTGCTTGACTGTCTCCTGGAGAGTCTCCTCTGCAACCCGGTGCCCTGCAAGACCTCAGTGAAGTAGAAAGGGAGGGAAACCGAGCTGGAAAACTTGAGTTCCTTCCCCAAAACACTCTTAAATAGTTTTTTTTTAAAGATTTTATTTATTTATTTGAGAGAGAGAGAGAGTGCGCTCATGTGTGTGTGTGTGTGTGT